AAAGTTAGGCGAGAACGGACGTCAAACGAAAAAATTATGAATTTATAACGAAATTTTCTATCTCGGCCTATTAAAAATAAATAATAAAAATAAAGTCAAAATTAGCCGACGGAGTCTAAACGAAAGTTGTAGAGCCTAGTCTCACCTTCGCGTGGATATAAAGAACGTCTAAAACGGAGTTCGTATGAAGAAAATATGAATTTTCGAAGTTTATTAAATAATTAATAATTAAATTTAATTATTAATTCCGGTATTATCCGATGACGAGTCACCGGATTCATCCGGAGTACACCCCGCGTACAGCGAAGAGTGTCGACACTTCGGATGACGCATGTAGTGACGACTTCGGACGCCAGTACGCCCCGCGTAAATGAGGCTCCCAGCCTCCTATAAATAGGATGCGAGGGGTTCGGGCATTGTTGCTCATTTCTCCTCCATTTCGTGCCGAAGCTCTGCGTTTTTACCCCCGAAGCCCCGGTATCATTCCCGAGTCCCGAAGCAAGTCTCGAGATCCCGAAGATACCGAGAAGTGTGGTTTCCGAGCTGAAGTTCTGCCCGCGAGAAGTTCGATTTTTGTAGAGATCTTCCAGATCTGCTGATGATTACTACTTCTGCAAGCCGTAGCGCTGTCCGATCATCTTCTGATCAAGTGAGTGTGTAGTTACTTTCTTCTAACGCATAATTATGAAGTATTTTATACGAAATACGTGTTATGTGTATAGTTTTGTTGTTATGTACGTGAATGTATATTCACTATCTTCAATCTCATAGATCTGATTTGTTTTCTATGAAATACGTGTTATGTGGGTATGCCTCATCTGTTATGTGAAATATGTATTGGATGAAAATGCAATACAAGTTTTAAACTATGTATAAAAATATATATTTTTATCTACCAATATGTTGGGTAGAACATGGGTAGATAGTTGGTGTGTAATAAACAGATGAGAGGCCTCGATGTTGTTGTTGTTGACCTAGTTATTCAGGGGAGTATGGATAACGACCACAGACTCCTTCTAGACAGTCTCGTGGAACGCTAGCAGGTTCATAACCTGTAGGTGTTGTGAACGATGTGTTCACCGGTGTACTCTATCCCCCTCATGGTTGCCTTTAGGATATCTATTGTTGAGGAAACCCCTTAGCAGTAATGTCCGCCCCGATGAAAATCCTAGATTAGGTCCCTTGAGATAGATGCTGTTTTAGAGACGTAAAGTGAGGATAACGGGAATGGGTAATCGGGATAGTGATTGGTTGGTGAAATTAAATATAATTTATTTATTATGGGTTGAAAACCTTATATGCTCACCAGGCTCCCAAGCCTGACCTACTCAATTTTATTTGTATTACAGGAAGTCGCGCAAGGGCGTAAAATGGATGAATCATCGAGTTGTTTTGTTTAAAAGTCTGTATATGTATATATTTGTTGAATGACTTGTAATGTTATCGTTTATGCTTTATGGTCTGTATCGGAACATGACACCCCGAGTTTTAATTATATAATGAAAATGCATCTCTTGATGAAATGTTTTGATAAATATTATTTTTATCATGTTTTGTTTTGGGAACAAATTCCGCAACACTTTTAAATCAAAAGGATTTACTCTGAAATTATTTTAAAAAACATAAATGAAATCCGTCTTTTCTAGCCGAGATTTTGGGGATGTCACAGATGCCGAGGATCACAAAACAAGGTGTGAAGTAACCATGCAAATTACTTGGTACCCTTAAGTGTTTACCCCTCAATCGACGTGCCGGTTAACCACACACGCTCCACCAATACTATGATAAACATTAAGTTACCCTTTTCCTACCTTGTTAAATATGAGTTAGTGTGCCGGTTAACCATACACACTCCACCAACGGACTTAAACAAAGTGCAAAGTGTAATTTCATGTATTAACACCTTATTCAAATTTTCCTAAAGTAACTGAGATTGAGAATTATAAAAAGCATTTAGTTATTTTATATCTATCATTAATACTTTTAATGGAGGGAGAATTATAGTCCTTGTCCTACCCGTTCGGCTAACGATCCTCCATCAGTCAAGGAAGCGGTGGGTGAGAGTAGACACCCATTAAACTGCCATTTTATAGGTAGTAACTTTATACCCCCCTTATAGACCGACTTCGTGAATGAGGCATACTAATGGTAAGACGACTTGCTCTTATACATATATATATAAATATTATTAACTTATAATATTATAAAGTGTAAGGGTTGAATTTTAACTTTTAAAATTCTAAGGGCTTAACTTGGAATTAAAGTATTCATAGGAAAACTTTACGAATTCCAAAACTTGAGGGCAAGTTTTGAAACTATTCAAAACTTTTCATTTCATAACTTATGAGTTTAATGGTTCATTAAAATGAAGACTTTTCATTTTTATGTAACGTTTTGTTCTTTAATAACACTTTTAAAGAAGTGACTCTTAAACATCCATAACTTGAGGATAAGTTAGGAAGTCATAATACTATTTAATGAAAAGACCCTTCATTTTTTATGTAACGACACTTTTATGAGTTTTAAGATTCATAAATGTGACCTTTTATGTATCTCTAGAGCAATTTACAAAAACACATTTTATGAACTACCTCTAGATTAATTAGGATTGAAAACAACTAAAACACAGTTTTTTTTCCATTAATCAAACTAACTCATAAATCAAGGAAACATAAAACTTTTGGTAATTCATAACTTATGGAGTTAAATGCTTGTTTTATGATGAAACTTTTCATGTTCCATAACTTAAGAATAAGTTATGAAATTCTTTAAAACATTAACACCAAATTTTGTAACTCCATAAAAAACTTTGAATCAATTTTTTTTAAAAACCTTTTCATATCCATAACTTATGGAGGTTTAAAAAAAACACTCTTTAGATGAAACTTTTAAAACTAATAAAATAATCATATCATTTTATCTTTTACTAAATTTGACATAATTCAACACATATAGCAAATGATTCAAATTTTATAAATAATTAGCTTTTCACAAAAAACAAGTAATTATCTTAAAATTTGACAAACGTCATGTTTTTTTTTCAACTTTGAAAATAAAACATTTGCATCAATATAACAGAAAACAACCCATGGCTCTGATGCCACTGTTGAGTTTTGAGTATCTAACACTCCTAAGTGTACATACAACCCTAAATACCTTGGATCTATGTTTTCTATATTATACATGCAAATATGAATATTCTAAGGTATTATCCTAACTAGCATATCAAAACCAATGATTCATATGAGTATAACATGTTAGAATACATACCTCTTTGATGTAGCTTGACTCCATGATGCTCGAGAGCCTAGCACCCCAAGTGTGACACCTCAAATGGTTCACACAACACCAAATGCACATAGAATGACTTGAGAGAAATGGAACCCTTCATAAAATCAGCTAGCCCTTCCTATCAAACATAGTGGCCGATTTTTCCCAATAATATGATCTTTATATAGTGTCATAATTAGGGTAAACCCTAATTGTCATGGCTTCCCATTTCCTTGGATCCATGGGTTCAAATACACCATGAAGCATCCATGGAGCATCCTATGAGTTTTAGCCCAACTTGATAATCCATGGAGTCTTAGCCTACTATAAAGGTATGGATGATTTACACAATTAACCCATATATTTAATTAGTCTTCTTTTGATCACTTAACTAATTCTAGATTAATTTTTGATCAATACTAATTAATTAATCTTATTAATATATTAGAACTTATAATATATTAATAAACCTTAAGTGTTATTTCTCTCATTTTAGTCTATCAAAATGCATGATGCCATGCAACCCAAATGGACCATGTCGAGTCGGGTCAAGTATATACCAAATATAGTTATGGACTTAGACACTAATCCAACAAAACTTATCTGAGTTCGGATTCTTTATGTGAGACAGAGTCAGTAGATTGTTTTGAGGAATCAATTTAATCTCTGAATGTACTGAATGCTTTTAAGGTATTTGGAATTCTCAACCATAAACTTACACTAAAAACAAGTGTTCCGGTCATGTTGCTTCGTAATATTGACCAAATCAAATGTTTGTGCAATGGTACTAGGTTATAAGTAGTTACGGTTGGAAAACATGTCATTGAGGCACAAATTATAGTTGGTAGCTTCTTCAATGAAACTACTTATATACCTCACATTAAGCTAACTCTCTTTGATAAAAGAACCCCCTTTCATTTTCAGCAGAGGCAGTTCCCAATAGCTGTTTGTTTTGCTATGACCATTAATAAGAGTCAAGGACAATCATTATCCACTGTTGGATTGTATTTGCGTAGACCCGTCTTCACTCATGGTCTGCTATGTGTAGCTGTATCTTGCGTGAAAAGTAAAAAGATGCTTGAAGATACTCATATATGATAATGAAGACCGTTCAACTAATAAAACAAGATATGTTGTTTACAAATAGGTCATTTAACAATTTTAGATAATCTTATATTTCGTTTTATTTTTTTAGACATTATAATAACTAATAACACAAATTCTCTTCATGCTACATTATTTTATTTTTTTATGCGTTCCCCCCGCGTTTAACGCGGGTCATAATCTAGTTATATAATCATACTAATGCTTAACCCAAAAATACGGGCGTTACAGGATGGACCTGATGCCAGGCGGCGCCTGATGACAGGTGGGGCCCATTATGTGTTTACTAAGTTTTGTGATTACGATTTTTATGGTTACGCTTTTAGGTACTTCTGATTGAAATGGAAGGGTTCGGTGTGATCGCAACACATTCACTTATATTTCCGCATTATAATGATTATGAGATTGTATTTTAATAACTATTTTTTTTATAAAGTACTTTTGAATATTAAGAAAAAGAGACATGTTAACTTAAAGATAATTAATGTTTTGCTTGAATTAAAAATAAAATTTTTACCTTTAAAATTTCTAAAAAGACATTTTAAAACCTAAAAATACAAGTTTTAAAATGCAACAAATAGTCCAAATAGCCAATTTGAACGATACACTAAAAAAGTTTGTTGGATAGCAGCCTTTAATTAACCTAATAAAAGGTTTTCGTTCATATGCTTCACCAGTAAAGAAAAACCCATTCTCTCTCGTCGCCTCCTCAGGCGATTCCCGATTCCTCGCCGCCAACTTCCATCGTCGGATACCGTCGCACCCAACAGAACCGGCCACCGTCGCACACCACATATTCGATTCAGGTGCGATTTTCTTCCTCTTTTCCCGCTTTCGTTCAACTGCATTTTGCCTGCTCTCGAGAAATCATGTGTTTGTTGCAATCGAAATATATATGTGATGTGTGCAAATTTTAGATGTTTGTGTTCAACTGCATTTATTCTCTCGTCCCCTGATTTCAGTTCAAATCGAAATCATATGTTTGTTGCCTGCTGTCACTGCAATCATATGTTTGACACCGCTATAATCTATAGAAATCTCGCCGACGCAGGGAAGCCACTATCCAACACTTGTGTTTTTTCGACATCAACTGCGGCTCTGCGAGTCTGAACAATGGAAGCGAAGCCCTCTTCTACTTCTCCCTCAACATTTATCGATCAGTTAGTCGTAAGCAAACCACTCCTGCTTCTCTTCGTCTTCTCTGTCTTACTTCTCGTTCTTTCTTGAGTGTTTACCATTATTCGTTTGTTCACGCGACTTAGGTTCCAGGAGATGTGATACTGGACCTCTCAAGCATGGCCAATCAAACTATCAAACTCGGAGGTGGCCTTCGTCAGGTTCTTTTTTCAATTTAGGGTTTATTGTATTTCCTACAACTTAACTTTTTAATTTCACCTCCATTTCGAAAATGAGCTATACTTTGATATTCCAGGTGAAACCTACCTAGTATCTTCTGAACGCAAATTAAATAAGTATTTGAAGGATTGTTTACTTATTTACATTCCGAATTGTTAGGATGGTGATTCCATTTCTGTAATGAAGGCTGGGACGCTGAGATTCACGAAGCCAAACAAATATTGGGTGGAGAGCTCCCATAAGAGGGTAAGCTTGTTGTTTTATGTTTCACTTTTCTTCATCAAATTTACAGAATCTAAATTACTATATCCTTCTTTATCTTTGAAGATGCCTTATGTCTCTTGGTTTTCAATTTTCTGGAATTGTATGTTGATCTTTGCATTCTTTACTGATATTTTGTAGTATGTACCTAGTGCTGGGGATAATGTTCTTGGAGTTGTGGTGGATACTAAACCAGAAGTAAGTTGTACTGAAGTTTTAATTTACAACAATACCTAGGGGCTGTTCTTATTTTAATTTTTTTATTTATTTCTGTTCCACTCTATGGATGTGATCAAGTATCTGAATTTCCTTAAGTCAAAAAGAAAAACAGCCCCTTAGACTTCTTTTTTTGTTCTTCATTCCAACATTTTATTTATTTTTATTTTTCATGTGTTTGTTTCAGAATTTCCTTGTGGATATTAAAGGACCTGCATTGGCATTTCTACCTGTTCTTGCATTTGAAGGAGGAACTAGAAGGAACATACCCAAATTTGAGGTATAATATTCCTTTTTTCTTTTTCTAATTCCATGGACTAAATATTTATATAAAGCTAAAAATTTTACAATCGTTATTGTAGGTGGGCACTTTATTGTATGTTCGTGTGGTCAATGCGAATACAGGCATGAATCCTGAGTTGTCATGCATGGATGGTGAGTCATATCTTTTTTTTTTTTTTTAAAACCACAAAATTATTTAAAAAAAAATTACAATGTATTTCATGTGAATTGCAGCTAATGGAAAAGCAGCAGAGTATGGTGTACTAAAAGAGGGGTATATGTTTGAATCATCCACAGGCCTCTCAAGAACGTGAGACATTGTTATTGCTTCTTGAATAATTTTGAGTAAATTACATTTTTGGTCCTCGAGAATAGCTGGTTTTTACAATTTTGGTCTCTGTAGGCTGCTGAGTTCTCCACCTTATCCAGTTCTTGAAGCTCTTGGGAAGAAGCTCTCATTTGAGATAGCTGTTGGCATAAATGGCCGTTTCTGGGTATGTAGAATTCTTTACAGATTTTCCTTTTTTTTTTTTTTTTTTTTTTGTAAGATATTTTGAATTTGGTGAAATTGGTATACACAGGTGAATGCGTCACAATCATCTACAGTAATTCTGGTTGGAAATGCAATACTAAAATCAGAATCTCTCAGCTTGGTGCAACAGAAGATTTATTTAGAAAAATTGCTCAAGAACATTCAGTGATTTTTAGTAAAAGCTGAAACTATTTTCTCCTGTTGTCAACAATTAATTAACATGAAGATCGAATGCAGTTATATATATGTTCTTTTCCTTAGCCCCATGTATTTTTAATCAACACAAATCAATATAAGAAAGTAAGAAACCATGATATATAATTGGGAAGAAAAAAAAAGGACTTTATGCCAACAAGTTTGCCACCACATAAAATATTAAAAAAAAAAGGATAAATATATCGGATGATATTTGCCACCACATAAAATATTAAAAAAAAAAAGGATAAATATATCGGATGATATTAATATGACTCCATTAAACTTGGTTCGACTTATATGTTGATTGATTAAGATCGAGTCCCAAGGATGTCAAAATGTCCACGAACAAAGTCATAATGTCCACCAATTAGTTTGATTTTTTTACTGGCTACTCCAGATTTAACCTGAGGGTAGGTTAGTAAATTCGCCAATGAATTCATCACCGACTCCTGCATACATGTACAACAACAATAGAAATCACATTTGTATAAAAGTCAACATGTGTTTTTACTTTTTAGTTAAAGATTATGGTAATTTTTATTTATTTACCTTCTCAACAAGTGTTCGAAGTTCAAGACCAGATGCTTTTGGATTCTTTCCAACCACCTTTGCCTTAGCAGGCTTACCAATGCTAACCCAATCATCTACCGAGTCACTTCATCACAAATGAAATAAATTAAGCTTTCCTAATTAATTAATTATGTTTTGTTAAAATAAACAAAACAATTTTTTATTTCGAATATAAAGCATAATTATGTAATAATAGAATAAAAACGAACTTACGGTGATGAAGTTTTTCCATCAGGAAGACATACGAGTCTCTCAATTCCACCACATCGACAGTGGCCAAAGACTAAAATGGCCTCAACCTTAAAAAAGCGATTTTCCTTAATTAACCATTTCACATTGATCCAAATTTTATATATACAAATACTTATAAATAATTGTGTAGAAATATAAATAAATTGCCAAAGCAACCTTGCAAACTAAGATTGCATATTTAATAACAGCACCAACTTCGCAGTACCTTTGCTGTAAAACAAAAACAAACATAACTATCACTAATAATCATAAAATTACAATTTCTTAAATTAATACTTTTTTGCATCTAAAGTATCTATAATGCTATGATACAATGAATAATATAATATAATGCGCACATAATAAACTTTGGACTTCAACTTCCGTTATAAAAATGATATAGAAGAGTTTTTTTTTTGAAGATGATTAATTTTCAATATCCCATTGAGTTCAAAAACGTATATGTACATCTTTTACAAACTAGTTGAAAAAACTAACTTCTAAGTTATAAACTATTTATTGGTCTCATGAAACATTAAATTGTAATAAACTCAAAAAATAAATTAGCTTATACGTATCAAACACAATCTAAGGAACGGACCAACTAACTATGTACAATTCAATCAAACACCATATTGATTGATTCAGATGTGTTATTTAGTCCACAACATAATAATCAATTTTTTCAAAGACAAATCTAAAAAAATAATATAAATCTAGAAAATAAATGGAAATATCAAATATATAGTTGAACTTTTGAAGAAAGATTGTGAAATTGAAGGGACTAATTTTGTCACCTGATTAAATGCAGGGACCATGTTGGCAATATTACGGGTTATGAAAGCTTCCCCGGGTCGCAGGTTCAGGATAGTTATTGGGCAAACTCGGGAGTCCGAACAAGCAAATATTAGAAACTGTGCCAATTTTATAATTATTTAAAAATTTAAATTTAGAGTAATATACAGAAATCCTTGTATGAAATATTAATTATTATAAAATATAGTTTTCTAAAGATCAACAATTTTGATAATTAATGGTCATATTACCTTGGGTTCCGCTTTGTCGGCCAATTTACGATAGGCAGGCATATTTTTGCTGTAAATTTGTACATATAAGTTATTATACAAATTAAATTTTATGAATCTAGTAGTATAACTTTTTTTAATATAAATTATAAAGCCATTACAAAAAAATAAAAATAAAAAAATCTAACAGACTTTTTGATATTCTTCTTATTGGGTCTAACTTGTTTAGATTCAGAAAGTTTGATACGACAAGTAGTTGTGTTTGAATCTTACTCGATAACGTATAGATGCGATTAGATCTGATTGAATCGACAACTATCAAACAACTTCAAAATTATAAAAAGTCCAATGTTAACCAACATTGGATTCAATGAAATTAAATAGAATGTTACTTACCATAATTGACTTTTATATCATTAGTAAATGAGGCTCGAGTAGCTTACTTGAACTCATTGAGCTTGAAGTATGCAAACCCATCGTTGATTCTTTTTATGGGGTCAAATGGTGGTGATGGTGGTGTTGGTCCAGTTATTACTTGCATATTCTCCAGATTAATTTGATTTGTGTTATCTTTTGATTCTACTTCCTTTCCATTTTTACTAATCAAACAATTAAAAATAAAAATAATTAATGTAAAATAAATCATAGTGATCAATGATTTGATGTGTAGTAATCGATCCATTTTTTGAAATAAATAAATTAATATATCACTTACCTTGGTATTTCTGTTGGTACATTTGCTTTTATATTTGAGTATTCTGACATATCGGACTGTCCTTAAAGTTTCTGCAGCAACTTTTGTATACGATTTCAAATAAATTGAATTAATTAATTAGAATAACGACACATATTAATATCATAGTATTTCAACATTTTGTTTATTCACATGTCACATGTTCTATTATAATATTTTTACAATGTTTCATATAGGAAAAAGCGTGTATGAAAAATATATGCTTAAAAAGTAAGATTTATTAACTTTTCCTTTTCAAAACTTATATTGTATTTAAAAGATACTCGAAAAAGCACACTGAATTAAACCGAGTTACAAAAACAGCTAGAGGGTTGCAAAAACAAACTTACCCAACTGAAATTTGCTAAATAGAATAGCGCCAATTTTTAATCCCTAAAAAAAGCTTTTAGATGTCATGTATGTGTTTTGGCATCGATCTGGATGTCCTTTGAAGAGTCATTTCGTTCTTTTGCCTTCTAAAGTCTTCGTTGGTATGATAGAACCTATAAGCCTAACTTTCTTTTTGTGTGACTAGTTAGTTGAAGAAGATGTACTAGCTTTATTGATAAATATAAAATGTCATGCGTTATGCACCGATATAGAATATAAACTAAATAAACATTACATATTTATACGTCTTAACAAATGCAATATATATATATATATATATATATATATATATATATATATATATATATATATATATATATATATATATATATATGGGAAAAGTGAATATACCTTTAAGGGTATATAAGCTTACGCACCCAAACACACCATAATATGTCGTTTTGTTTGATATATTCATTATAATGTTCTTAAACTTCAACTCTTACCTTGATTTAATTTCAAAATTTTCGATATTTTACTATTATCTTTCTCTTACATCACATGTTTTTGCCGAGCACCTACTAGGCTATATATATTGTAGTTGAAAATGAAATCCATGTAAGAGGAAGATAAATGTGTAATTTATAAAAATCATGGAAATAATTAAGTTAGAAGTTAAATTATAAGAACATTGGACAATTAGAATGTATTATATGATACAAAACGACATAATATAGTGAGTTTGGGTACGTAAGCTTATATACCCTTAAGGGTATATTCACTTTTCCCCATATATATATATATATATATATATATATATATATATATATATATATATATATATATATATATATATATATATATATATATATATATATATATCAAACTATCATATAAGGGTATTTCATTATGGTCTTTAGTAGAATACATACATAAGGGATTCCTTTAATTGATCATGAATCCATTATTGGAGGCAAGATCAAAAGAAAACTCAAAATTCGAAGAGAACCCAAAAAAACTCTTTATTTTGCTCTCATTTTAGAAGATCATTGTGAAGATACAAAACACTATGAATCAATTAATCAAAATAACCAGTAATTTGATATTTAAATTGATCAAAAATTTGATTTTCAAGAACACATATGTTATATTTGAACTTTGAATATGGAGAATGTGCATACGAAGGGCTGATCACATATTTATCTTTTAATATTTTTTCTTCATTATTACACTATATATGTGACACGTAACATTCATTCGATTATAAAAGAAAATTATGTAAAGGTTGGGTTCTTATTTGCCACTTGCGTATTAAAAACAAGGGATAATGACTTAAAAGGGTAATATAGTTTTTGATTTGTACACATTTAGTCATTGAGTTTTTTTTCGTCCACATTTACCCCTTCAACTTGTTAAACTGTATACATTTAGTCCTTATGACCGGCTACTCCAGGTTAGCCGGTAAAAATGACTTAATAGGGTAATATATTTATCATTTTGTACACATTTAGTCCTTAATATTTTTATACACATTTAATCATTAATATTTTTCTATTGCAAAATAAGTCATTTTTGTTTTTTTATTCATCCAGTACTTATGAATGATTTGTTTAGGTTTTTCTCACGACTTCTTATGTGGGATAGCCATATGGTGGTGAGATAGTTTTAGGTGGTCCTGCTATATGTTATAGGACAAGATACCTGGTGCGGGCCGACTATAAGTTGTAGGCACGAAGACTCGAGAAGAACGGTTGGATTAAGGCGTCATACCAACAAACTTGAACATTGTACCCCTACCTGAATAAAACTGGAGGACTAAATCTGCAAAGCAGTGAAAACTTGAAGGACCATATAATCAAACATGACATGACCCTGGTGGCAATTACTTGGGAGTGTACTGGGCTTGGTAGAAATTATGAATGTTTGGCGTCGGGATGAGCAAACCATCCTCTCCCTGATCCTTTCGCTGACATCAGTACCTCGGTAAGCTTTCACCCCTCTGATTCATTTATTCTAACCTTTTCGGCCATTAAAGTTGCAGTGACTGAAGCTTTTTGTGTATCGGCTTATTATTTTTCATTTGTTCAAGTTTCTAATTGTGCAGAGTGTGAAGATGGCAACTCCTCCAAACCCTACTGACGGGAACCCCCAAAATCCAGGTCTATTTCTCTACGTACAAGTCTATAGTATATATTTTATGTATATCCGAGTTTAATTTTATCGATATTCAAGCTTAATTATGTTGATATACTTGAAGGGAACTTTAATCATAGTGTTTTGGGTTTGATTAGTAGAAATCGATTCAAGTATGGAGTTGATTTGATTATCAACTTTAAATTTGATGTTAAATACCAAGTTTCCGATTGGTTTCAAGTGAATTGACTTGACTTCCCCCTTGCACACTTGACTCAATGACCACAGTTCCGGAAGCTGTAAAGCCAGTGACCAATGATCAACAAGATGCCGACAGAGGAGCTACCAAGGAACCATCAATATTCGTCAACACAGAACCGATACGAGAAGAACAAGTGCAGAATGCTGTAAAGTTCCTTTCACACCCAAAGGTTAAAGGATCTCCTGTTATGTATAGAAGATCTTTTCTTGAGAGGAAAGGCCTTACAAAGGAGGAGATAGATGAATCATTTCGTCGTGTCCCTGTAAGAAAATTTGATCTACTTTTCTTTGATCATTCTTTTTCTTTTCCATTTCCTTTCATTCCTTACATTGTAAAACTGTAAATGGCAGGATGAATCCCCTGGTGTTTCAACTACTCAACCAGCTGTTGTTAATCAAGGTGTCCCTTCACAGCCTACCTCTAGTATTCAACCACAAGCTCCAACTCAATCTCTGCAACTGCAACCTGTAACTGCTCCCAGTTTGAGGAGTAGGTTTCATTGGTCACATGCTTTGCTTGCTGTTGGAGTTCTTGCTATATCAGGAGCTGGAACTGCTGTAGTTTTTAAGGTAAAAACAAACAGCAGACAATTTCTAACAGCTGACATGTGTTTTTGTTATGCTATTAGTTGACACGTATTTGGTGTTAGAATGCTGTTGTTCCTAGATTGAAATCTTGGATTCGTAAAGTTGTACATGAAGAAGATGAAAAAGAGGACCTTGACAATGAAACAAACAGAAAGCCGACATTAGCTGAAGAAGCAGCAGCTGCTGCAAAAGCTGCAGCTGCAGCAGCATCTGACGTGGCACGTGCTAGCCAGGAGATGTTGGCCTCAAAAACTGAAGGTAACCTCCATTTCTTTAACTTAGTTTTCTTCATTTTGACTTTAATGTTTCTTTTAGGGTAGTTAATTACCTTCTTTGACCAATATATGCAACATACTTTATCTTTTACCCTCATTAGCAACCGACTTGCATCTTTCTACCAATATACACCACTTGTAACCAAAAACCTTTACAAAGCTGACATGGCATTGGTTTCTGCCATGTCATCTGCCACATGTACAAACACACAAACATGGAATTTTTCCCCTTTTCATAAACATTGTGCTGTTTGTATAATTGTATCTGATATAATCTTTGCTGTTTACAGAGAAGAAATACTTTGGGGAACTTTTGAGTCTTTTGGATGTGCAAGTCCAGGAAATGAAGTCAATGAGCAACTCAATAAAGAAGTTAGAAGGTAACCCATAAATTGTTTTTTTTGACAAATATATTAAAAGTTTTCCATTTCCTAACAACTTATGAAACCTACATATCATACTATATATATATATATATATATATATATCTTAGTTGCAACTTTCTACTTTTCAGGACAAAATAACAACATCCAAGGGCGAGAGGTTCAAGTCACAAGCACAAGGGTGAGTTAGATATAAGACATATTTGGACTATGCCTCTATTCCTTGTATATTTATAAACACTATTTGAAGTTATATATATATATATATATATATATATATATATATATATATATATATATATCATTTGTTTAATTTATATTTTTTTGGAATATTGCAGCCACCTTACACAAATGGCAGGACAGATTACGACTCCCGGTCAGTTAGATCCTTGTCACCACCACCTGCATCTGTAGTAGAGCCCCCCTCTGCTACACCCTCCCACCCTAAATCTTATATGGAGGTGACTTTTTTTTGTCTGCTTTCTACATAAATGAATGCTCAACCATTACTAAAATTAATTTTTTTTCTTTGATTTGCAGATAATGTCTATGATTCAAAGAGGCGAAAGGCCTCCCAACATCCGAGTAAGTAGAATCTTTTTTTTTTTTTTTTTAATTTTTTTTTCCGGGTGTGTATTGAAGTGTTTACTTTATTTTTATTTCTCTCAGGAAATCAATGATCAACCACCAAACCCTGATCAACCTGTATCAAATCCTCGCTTGACACCAAAACCTAAGGTTTTCATTAATGATATATAAATATGATACATAGTTTACTATTTTTTATATATAAAAAAATTAACATATTTTACCACTAACACTACTTTTCATGTTTTTACTGACTAGCCTTGGGAGTCACAGGCACAGGGTGGCGGCTCAATCTATGAAAATAACAATGGACTTAACGAGTACGGAGCGGGCCCCACATCTGTCTATCAGGCTAACGGGGAAGGTGGTGGGGCGCCATGGTGGCAACAAAAGAATGTGAAGATTTCTGAAGTGGAAGGTGAAGAGAATAAGGTGACTACTGGGTACAGTGAGCGACCTGTTCAGCGGTCTGCGTGGGTCCCACCTCAGGCGCCACCTGTAGCCATGGCTGAGGCGGCAGCCGCCATCAGACAACCGAAGAAATCACCGTTTGAAAAGGAACAAGGACAGCAGTTGACGGATGAACGGTTTCTGGCTAGGTCAACTGAGGTGACAGATGAGTTGCAGAGGATCACGAAAATATCTGAATCGGGTGGTGTGGTGGTGGAAGATGGTGGTGCAGGGGGGAGCAGCTCGGTGGTGATGAATACAAGTGAGATACAGAGAGAGGAAGAAGGGTTGTATTATGAGGCTTGAACATGTTTGATTTGAAGGTATTTGGTTTGATACTTAGTGATATACTAAAGATAATTACATTACATATTTTGATATGATATTATTGATGAAAAAAATAATGTGCTCTTGGATACCAAATATGCCTCATGATTCGAATTATTCCGATTTGAATTAACTGTCACAACTTACCCTTGGATTCAACTAGTGACATTGAAAGTTGATATTCAATTTGATTACTTTTCCCATTGACTATATATTAAGTGACATTGAAAAATATGTCGGAAAGTACAAGCTATTGATACGAAAGTAGATGAACAATAAATGATTTAACATGAAATGGAGATACTATATATATGCCATAAGTGTAACATATATGAACTCTATATATGAAATTACTATAAATTTATATAAATATTTATGAGTTAGATATGCATATTACTTTTTTTTTTTTAATCAGTGTCGATTTCGTCAATAAACTAGCATGGATGATTAGTATGAAATACATACGATTGCAATAACATTTTTACAAAAGAATATTTATATTTTAATCCTTGTTAAGTAGTGAATGTATAACATTAACATAGTAACAGTATGATCATATAATTGATAAAAATAAATTATGTAACCATATTTTAACAATAGCAATCTGATCTAAAAAAAAACATTTTACCATTTTTACAACGATGGATTCAACAAAGCAATATATTAAAACGAAACAAAAACTAACAAGTAGCTAGCAAGACAAATGTTACGTGCTTTAAAGGGTGAAATGTCCATACAATCCAACCTAGAGTAAGTAAGTTACCTCGATATTTCATCTAAAAACTAAAATCATAAAACGATAATTAAAATTTGAGACAATAATAAAAATGCTAGAACGATAGTTAAAATCTTAAACTAAAATGTTACATCTCTAAAGCTCTGCAATTTGTCATTTAACCATTTTGTCGTGCTGATTAAGAAAGAAGCGTTAACCATTTGTCATGAAACTTTAAACTATCATAAGGTGTCTCGTGTGGAAAATCTATCATTTTATAGAATTAGCGATAGTCACTTTGTGTAGACCTAAAAATATTGATATCGATTTTTCACTCATAAGCGTATTCATCTTTTGGTTTTTGAGTTAATTTGATGCGTTACGATTCGAACCTACAATTAGTTTACAGTGTTTCAGAACTTGCTCCCAAAAAGCATCCACCCTTATTGATTTTCACCATCTTTATTTGATGCATAAGTTAGTTATGTACTAGTTTAAAAACCAACTAATCTAGACTAGCAAATATGCGATAGACAGTGTACCTAATCGATTAATAGGACAGTTCAAGTAAGTCGGGTATCGAACACAGGAACGAAAATAACAAATAAAACAACAACTAAAACATCTACTATTATCTAAGTAAATTAAGCAAATAAAAAGGAAAAAAAAAGGGGGGGGGGGGGGGGGGAGGGTTTAGTTTTGCAAGTCAAGAAACTTTAAAGCAATTAACAAAGAAATAATTTAAACTAAAGCAGAAACAACCATAACAATAAATTTCAACTATGCTCCAAAAACCCACAGTCTAAACCAGCGAAATAAAGTCCATCAAATCAACATCCATACTAAAACAACAAGTTGCGCCCATGTGTACAATCACGACTTGCCTTTCCCTTTTACAGTACTGAAAAAGTTGTTTATAGGAAAAAAGGTAAGCACGAAACGTAGTGAATTCCAACACAACACCATACATCAGTAATATGTACCATACACCTGTAATCTAAGCGTACAAGTTAGATAAACAAAGAGTACAAAGCACTTGCTAGCTAAAGTCTAGCATAAAAGGCACATCACAACTCAGGTCATATATTGATCGATACTTACCAGCTCACCTTAGCACATTCAGACTAAGCACTCACCAACACATATACAATCCACACAAAACATGTTCATGAGTGCTCCTGAAATAAGATTTGAGTACACATATACAATCCACAGTCAATCATACATTGGAGGTAAGTATGAATCATCTCTAAGCGTTTAGACATATCAAAAGCATGCTGCAACGTTCATGAGTGCTCCTGAAATAAGATTTGAGTATTGGATTAAACCCACGCTCACATGAATCACTTCATGGAATTAATCACGAGTGATTGTGAGACGATAATATCGTATAATCTTTAAGCCAAGATATATGAGTTGTTTTTTACAAGTTGGTTGTGCATTGATAATGCGTAAACGCATCAGTAACGTGATGTTATAAAACGTATTGTTGTGTACGATTTAATGAGTAAATAATACAAGCATATAAGTCAAAGTTTATCTGTTCCTTTTATCCTAGGAGGTTAAAAGCGATATCTTGGGCACCTCGATGATTTTTTTGACTTATGTGTCGTGCCCGATCAAGACTAAGTTGATGTGTTTAATTAAGTTCTATGTCAGACAAATTAGAAATTGGGAAACAAACTGTTGGACAATTGACTATGTTCCTTGTAATTGCCCACATGATATCATGAGAACAAGGACTACATGATCCCTTATCTATAAGATGTGTCAGAGTTCGATAGTAGCTTTTGAGAGCTACGATTGCTAATCGGATTTTGAAGTCGTACTTGCATTTACAGTTATTAGACTTATCCAAGTGGGAGACTGTTGGATTAAGTGTATATGCCCATAACTATATTTGGTATGTACTTGACCCAATAGTAGGATGGTCCTTTTGGGTTGCCTTCACCATAACAACTTGATTGGATGAATTATGGAGAAAGAGGTTGATTATGATTTATTAATATATTATGCGAATAATATATTAAAAGAGAAATCATATTATTTAATTAATATTGGTCTAGAATTAATTTAGTGATCAAAAGAGATTAACTAAATTAAGGGGACTGCTGTTGTAATTATTAAATAATTGAAAAATGGGTTGAGGATCCCTAAGTTAAGGGATGGACGAAATCTTGTGGAAGCACATAAGGATTTCGTCCAAGGCTAGTGTTTTGGAAGGATCCTATGGGCTGCTTAGGGCTTAAGCAATCAAATTAGGTATTTAACTGAAACCCTAATTCCTCAGCTATATAAGAAACCCCTTTGACATCATATTTTCGGCTACCTGAAACCCTAGAAAGATCTTAGAGCCGATTTTGAGCCTCTCCCCCCCTCTCTCTCACACTCATATTCTCCAAGTTGCTTTTGGTGTTTGTGATCGATTAGATGTATTACACTTGTGATACTAAAGCTCTCAAAGGGTGAAGATCTTCAAGCTACAAAGAAAGGTATCATTCTAACTTATTTATTATGTTAATTTCGAAATAAGCATGCTAGATTAGGGTTTATAAGCTTTGGATGATTATTGCATCTACAATTAGAAAACTTGATCCAAAGCTTTAGGGTTTGCATGTGCACCATTGGATTGTTGTTATGCTAAAAAGACAACACAAATATATCACACGATCTCATGCAAAGACATACATATCAAATGAATGTAATGTAGTAAAATACACACCTCGAACCGAATGTAGATCACAACAGGCAAACACAAAAGCTCTAATGAGATTAAGGAACTTGCTTTCCCCTATAGAAGTGTTATAGATCATTAATAAGCAAATAAGCAACCCTTAGCCATTAATTCAACTGGTTAGTAATTAGGTTCATTTTTAGCTTTTAACACCAAAACTACAGACTGTTCAAGATGTGTTTTCCCTTAAACACATTAAGTCCAAATTATTATCTCATATTCATAAAATTCAGCTCAATACTTTCCAAGGATATATTACACCAATTCTAATTGTTTTTCTATGGTTTATGGTGATTTATTTAAAATTACGTATCAAAGCTGTCAATTCTGGACTAGCCTACAAAGATGGCCAATTCCACCATACCTAGGAATGGAATCAGATTATGAAAATTGGTGGAAAGCAACTAGACTACATTTGTGAGCTTTGGGTACTCGTTTTAGGTTTAAATGATTCTCCTAGAATAATATATGATTTTTACACAAAAGGAGAAGATTGGTAAGTTTTTGCATAGATTTACAACTTGGGGTTTTTCCTTCTCTTAACCAATTAACTACTTAACCAAATGAGACAAGGCCATCTCTCCCGTCAATTTCACATAAAACGTGGACACATGCACATCTTTTCCTTATTTGGAAAAAATAACCCTTATTCCACTAATCTTCACAAAAAAAGTTCCAGTGTGACCAAACAACCCCTACACGCCATAAAATAAACAAATCAAGTTTCCTTAAATAAATTCCATGAATTTATTAATTAGTTACATCTAGGGTAGGGCTATAAACGAACTGAACGTTCGGCGAACCGTTCGTGAACTGTTCGGCGGGAAGTTCGTTTATGTTCGTTTATTTAATAAATGAACGAACATGAACAAAAATTATCGTTCGTTTAGTTAAATGAACGAACATGAACAATGGTCTCGTTCGTTCATTTATGGTCGTGAACGTTCGTTTATGATGTTCATTTACGTTCGTTTATGTTCGTTCGTTTAAGTTTATTTATATTCATCTATATTCAATTATTTTTTATTATATTGCTATAATATATGTTCATTTATGTTCATATATGTTCAATTGTGTTTTATTATCTTTGTTCGTTTATGTTTGTTCGTTTATGTTCATTTAGCATGTTCACGAACATAAATGAACAAACATGAACAAAGTAATTTGTTAAACGAACGAACATGAACAAGAAAATCTTGTTCGTTTATACGTTCGTGTTCGTTTGTTGTTCGGCTAACTTAAACGAACGAATACGAACAAGACCTTGTTCGTGTTCGTTTGGTTCGTTTACAGCCCTAATCTAGGGTATTTTTAAGTAGTTAAATAAAAACATATAAAAAATTCGGAACGTTACACTACGACCCTGTAAGGGAGGGAAGGGGTGTAACCCCTTTGCACACACACTATATTATCGAACCATATCAAACTCGTTTTATACATGTGATTACTCCGTGTTACATGGTTTATCGATGAACACTAGTTCGATTTTATTAACAATTAAGAAAATTATTATATTAAAATAACAGGATAGAAACTAAACCATCAAAAGCTATATAATGTTGAAGTGGTTGGTTGGTGATGCACCCATTAAAAAACAGGTAGCTAACGTTTTTTTTTTTTTTTTTTTTTTTTTTTTTTTTTTTTCAAAATTTGTTGGAAGATATGCTTTTTATATTCCCCTAAACCTTAGTTATATTTGATTCTCATAAAATATTTTAAAATTTTCCACTCGAAGCCCTTTCCAAATTAAGAT